AWKGKTTKGGKTKGSMRGGRWYYTWAARRMCMWYCMMYTYCMAMCCCCYKSCMWKGGSMRGRASMMYTTYCCYYKGRMCMRGKTTSTYCMARSCCCMATCCAGCCTGGCCTTGAACAATTCCGGGGCTGAGGCATCCACAGCTTCTSTGRGCARCCTGTCTGACCAAAACAGCCGATGTACCGCTCCTCCACTCAGTTACTCACCTGATACAGTTGATAGAGTTGRGAGAGCAAAGAACTGATACATTTTATACCTTGTTTTTAAACACTTCAAACACTTTAACCCCTCCCATGGGAGAGGAGAAAGAGCAGCTGAGGGCAGGAATCCCTTAACCACCCCACAGCTGGGTTAYCTCAGTCAGCTCTGATGCTGCAGGACAAAAGTGGGAAATAACATTTGCTCCCACCTCTGTGCAGAGTCATTTTGAATTGTGGATCTTTTGATAGAGAATACTATTTTTTCTGGCAGTTGAGGRCTGGTGAAGCACAGCACTGACACAAAGGGTCACAGCTGGCTGGGCTGGGTTTGCACAGCACATGTATGGGAATGTAGGAGGAAAAGGAAAACAAGGTGGGAAGGTTAASAGGCCCCAGGTACTGGTTTCAAGGAGCACTTGACACTGGCTCCAGTACCATTGATAGGGATTTCTGAGTGCCTGGGATGCTGGCTGAGCATCACCAAGAGAAAAACACAATAGGGGAAATGGAGCAAACAAGTTAAACAAGAGTCAACCAGCCATACACAGAAACCACCTCTGTAAAATACAAATCACATCAGTTTAACCTGGTGGTTAAACTGGGCTGGGTGCACAGAAGGAGGCTTGGAGTGCCACAGGGAACAGGTACAAACCACTGGTGCTGCTCTCCTGGGTGGGGGGTGAATGGAGTGTCCAGGGTCAGGGACAGAGCCCTGGGCATTGAGGCAGTGGGTGTCCTAYAGGCCACTCTCCTCAGCATGCAGAAAGGTGCAAGGCATCTCCTGTGCCTGCACCATGCTGCTCCTTTGTGGCTTCACTGTGAAACACCACCTGACAGCAGGAAACAAAAGGGAAGTTAYTTGTCCACGATCAGGAATCAACCATTCCTTCTTCAGTTGCATTGTTTGCCCACAGCTGAAAGGAAGGGGAAAGCTTTGGGATCCCTTACCTGTGCTTATGGTAAAATTTTGAGAATGGGGAACAAAATTTTAAAAATGCATATTATTAAAAGGAAGCACATTCACATTAGTCCTTGCTCAGGTAGAAGTGAGTGGTATATCACAGGAAACCTTGGTAACTGGAGCAGTCAGTCCTCACTCTGTTGAGCTGACTATTAAAATGGAGAGACAGACATGATTGTTTGCTGTTTGGGGTTTTTTGGTTTTTTTTTTTGTCCCTGAAAAAAGGAGAAAAGTAATTACTTGTGAACAAAGCCAGGAACTGAAAGGGGAAGACCTTTCCCATCAGCCCACGCAGTACATAAGGGAGCTGGGTTGGTTCACACAAGCAGCCATGACTCAAAAACGTGAGTTTTATTTCCCAGCACTGATTTTATCTATACAGAAATAGGTTGCTCGTGGCTGAACACCTTGCCCAGACCCACAACTGTTTTACCACAGGGGAAAGAGAGGCAGGAGGCTGCTGATCATGTCCTGTGCTACCATCCAGCATAGATGGGCTCTGTGTGCTCCGTGCCCCCGTACGTGCTGTGTCCTCCCGAGCCCCGGGGCAGCAGCAGGGACTTCAAGGATTTCTTGCCACGCTCTTGCCACCTTCTCAGAATTATCAGAACGACAACAAGGATTCCACCTGGAAAGAAAGGAGTGGTAGTTATTCACAGATCCCAAGGGAAAGTGTCAAAGTGTCAGGTAATGTTTGCTCCAAGGCTTCTCAACTCAGGTACTCTCTTCTAGTGAAATAAGGTTTTTTTCTCCTATCTACTCTGCTCCCCTCCAAAATAAGGGGAAAAAAAGGCTTCACTAGCAATAATAACACTAACTTTGGCATTTCAGCTTTACTCTGGAAGCTGCAGGGAGTAATGTCAAATTTTAATGAAATAATTCAATAATTTGCTTTCTTACTTTCTGCTCTCTGGAACTGTTTTCCACTTCGCATCTTACCCAGTGCAGACCCCAACCAAAGGATCTTGTTGAGATATTATGTTGCTTTGTGCAGCACTCACACTGAAGCACAAGAAGTAACTAACCTAGATTAACTCYGGTCTAGACTGAGATCAGGGCTGTCAGGAAAAATTACTTTTGTACTGRGCATAGACATGGAAGTAATTGGCAAATCTCAAGTACTGCGACATTCTGTTCGTTTGTTTCTGGCAGAAGCATCRTCAGGGAAAGTGGATCTGAACAGAAGAGCACAAATCTGTCGCTGTGATGCAATATGGCCAGACAAAGACGCCCAAATTTCAGTTGTGTGAGCAGACAGTCTCAYGGAAAACACTTGATCTGTGAGCCCAGCCGTGAAATACTTGCAGGTTCCTGCGTGGGCTGTTTCCTTTCCTCCTCTTTGCAGCAAGCTCTGGGAGAGGCAGGAATGCTGTTCCCTGACCCTCAGACTTGTTTATCACAAATGCTGKTTAATGGGCCATTGTCCCTCTCTGGACAGGCTTTTTATACACTTCAGTTTAATCTACTTTTTCAAATTAATACTCGCTCCAGATGGCATCTGTTTCAGCAGATTTTTGGACAACAGCCTGRCGTGAGGGGATAGGGGTCTGTAGAGGAGCTTTCTCATGGCTCCAAGCCACAGCTTGTGAGAACAACCCTCATCTGCTSCCACCAGGCATCCCAGCCCTGTGGACACAGCACTCAGACAGTGCTAGAGCTCCTCCAGACCCTGTGTCCTTGTCTCCTCCTGTGCATCCATGGAGTCCCCTCCTCAGTGCCAAGAGAGGAGTGTGATGAGAACGCTGCTTTCTTGYTGGAGAAGCAGCTTTGCTTTGTGTGTCTTCTTCACTGTGGGGAGTAACACATTTTATCTCTCCTCTGTCTCCTTTTAACAGCGAGCCAAGTGGAGAATGTGTCTTCAGGAAGTACATAAAATACACTTGAAACGGAAACCATCAATATGAGGATTACTGGATATTCTTTATCCTCTGATGGCTTAGTCATCTTTATGACTTGGCTCTCTTGACACAAGGTTTTCATCTCTGGTAGTGTAGGTGACACTTAGGGATTTCTCTTCATCTCTCTGGGCACAGGAGACAAATTCCTCTTCCCAGCTTCCTCATCGGCCCCTTTTGCAATCCAAAGCAATAATAGTTGCTCATTTTCATCATAACTCTGATTAATCCTCCTCCCAACTTTGATCAAAAACAAAAGAACTCTATTTTTCCCTTTCCTAAGACTAAAAATGCATATTCATTGYTTTGGAATGGTTATTCATGGAGCAGCTTCCCAGTTGAAAAGCTCATCCACTCATCAGCTTGCCCTGGTGAGCTGCTTTACAGCAGGTGGTACCTGAGGGACTCTCCCCACACTCAGCAGGTCCAGGCTGTCTTTCATTCTGTTGGTTACAAGGCACATGATGGCATCAATACAACCAACACTGCATGAGCCAGCAGCTCCCCATCCTGCTGTGGCATGGCTTGTGGCAGCAATGCTGTCAGGAAACCAAGTCTCATACCAAAAGGGAATTGTCCTTTTTCCTACTKTTGTGCAGTCAAGGAATCCCCATTTGAAGGTGCACACACACCCCTGYTTCCCAGGGACAAACAACAAGCATTCAGCACGGTGCCACTTCCTTCAGAGCAAGGGAAAGGACTGTCACTGGCATGGAAAGCAGCCAGAAGGACTTCCATTAGAAACCCAGCGTTCCACAAACACAAAAGACACTACCCAGAGAATACATGTTTTAACACAAAGCTGTGGAGGGATGCCTGGTTTTACCAGAGGACAGAGAGAGCCCAAACTGACCTGCTGTGAAGGCTGCCAGGACAATGACCGTGGCAGGGGTCAGCTGGCAGGAGTCCCCCACCTTGTAGAGGAACAGCTCCATGCAGTAGGTGGGCTCCACGCTGCCCCTGGGGCAGAAGGCRTCGGGAGGGCACTTGACCGGGCTCACATCTGGGCTCTGCCCAAGAGAAGAAGTAACTGAGCACCAACAAACTGCAGAAGGGAACCAGGGCAAAGGGAGGTGACACTTTAGCATTGGGGACCAAAAAAAAAAGGAATGAACCTGCCATTATTGAATTCAGCTGTGTCTGCCCCTGCGGTGTTAAGARTATGGGGAAGGGCAGAAGGTGTCATTACACAGCAAGTCCATACATCAAACCCCCTCATTAAGGCACACACCAGCCCCTGATGGCTCAGACAGAGCAGGCAGCTCCAGGCACAAAGCCACACTCCAGGTAACGTAATTTAACCATCTCCCTGCTTTAGAGCCCTGTTTATGTTTAAGCAGAGGAAAGAAGCTCAGATTTTTTAAGAAAAGAAATTCATTGAAGTATATTTAGCTTGTCATGGGCCAGCTGTGTGGTTAACACAGGCTGCCCCCAGCTGATGGGGACTCACAGGACAGTAGCTGTTTTCTGGGCACAGGTCACAGCTCTCCTTGCCCCGCTGTAATTGATACTCTCCTGTCCTGCAGGCCTTGCATCTGTTGTCACTGGAACCTTTGAATGTACCTAAATAGCAAATAAGCACAAAATTAARGTCTGGGACTGGACCCCAGGACCTCTGCAATTGCACATGGATGAATCCAGTTTCAAAGCCACAGGGAGAAAGAGCATTAAGTGCTCATGTGCATAACAAAAGCTGAGCCCGGACTTTGGTCCTGGTTTGGTGGCAAAGGGCAAGAACAGAATAAACAAGGACAGAAGGAGTAAAGAATATTTGGGATCAGACCTTGGCAAATAGAGTAGTGTGAGTAGGAGTAGGTGGGAGAGGGCTTTAGTAGTGAGCTCTGGCTTTAATGTAGAGGGAAGATTGGAGCTGGAGGTCAGCASTGTTTCATCCTCTCCAATTCTGGATTCAAACACCTTTTCCAGCTGTTTGAAACTTGCTGAGCAGACTTCAAAGCACAGCTCAGTCTCCCAAGCTTTGTGGGAAAGACAGGTCACAGAAGTTCCAAGTCTCAAAGTGCTAAATGCTTTCCTGCATGCTTAAAATGCAACTGGGCTGTGAGAAACCCCACTGCTGAAGATGCTTTGTTCTGGAACTGTTCCCAGCTGTGGATTTGGGGTCTCCAGGATACCTCTGAGCCATTAACCAGCCTGGTGGGAAGGTCTGACACAGGCACAGCCTCCACCAGCACCCGGACAAACCTCCCCGCACCATCTGCCAGGGCACAGCTCTGCTCTGCAGGGACCCTGCAGCCTCTGGGTCAGCTGGGAGAGTCTGGGAAGAGCCCCTGGAGCTGGAGCTGTGTATTCCCAGCGGGCACAACCTCCCCTCCCGGCTGCAGTTACCTGGCGGGCAGGACACGCACCCCTCCGACGCCTCCCGAGGAGCCTCCTGYCCCCCGGGGCAGGGCAGACAGGCCGAGCAGCTGCTGGTGCTGGAGGGGAGAGGAGGCAGGACACGCTGTGGGATGAGCATTTCCAAAGCCAGCCCCGCCCACCAAAGCCAGCTCCACATATGGACAGAGTGGAGTCTAGGGGATCAACCAGGAGCTTTTGCCATTTTGTGTCTRTCTCCAGYGCAGTTTCTCWCAYAGAATCACAGAATGGTTTGGGTTGGAAAGGACTTTAAGRTCATCTCATTYCAGCCCCCATGCCATGGTCAGGGACACATGATCAGGTTGCTCAAAGCCCTGTCCAGCCTGGCCTTGAACACATCTAATTAGGGCACCTGGTGGCATTTCCAGGTCCTCTCTTTGCCTGTTTGCAAGAAACTCACACGAACTTACCGTGCTTTAGTAACCTTGGCTGGAGCAGGTCAGAGCTGGGCCAGACCTGCCACACAGCTGGGTAAGCCCTGGGTCCCACCCTGTGGCCATTTACCCCGGGGTCAGCAGGGATCTGCTGCTTAACATGGGACAAAYGAGCTCGAGGGGGGCGAGAAGGAAGGAAAGTGTCCCTGTGCCAGTCCACTTTGGGCATGAACCCCCCAGCTTCCATGCAGGAATCCCTACACAGCAGATCAGGGCCCATTGTGAGGTACCACCAGCCCCCCTGGAATGCAGGAATGGGGGAGGTGGGTGGGGAGCTGATGCTCTGCCCCCTCATCCTAGGGTTCCTCCACATCCAGCCAGGATCCTCCCCTCATTGTCCCATCCCACTCTCACCAGGGTCAGCACCAATGTCCCTACAGCTCAAATGGCAGGTGACTTGTCTTTGGCCACCACACTGATGCTCCCAGCTTGGTGGCTGAAAGAAACCCCTCCTCCCTGTTCACCTGAGATCCAGCACCCCAGGATGCTCCTTACTTGCAAAATGATCCTGGTCGGCAAGGCAGACAAAAAGCTGCATTTTGCTTGGAGCTAAAATAGCCTGGAAAAGAGAAGAGTAAAGCTTCAGGATCTTGCCTCCACATCTCTGCCCCACACCATTGTGTATTTGCTCATGTTCATTTTACAAGCAACCAAACAACTCCCTCCAACACACTTCAGGTTGCATTTCATGGGTTAATTTAGGATATTTGGTTTTATATTTGTCATAAGCTCTGGAAGAGCAATGGGAGTTCCCTGCTGCCCTCTGCCATGTTGAGGGATGTGTGGAGGGCTCAGGCAGATTCCCCTGGTGTCACATCTCATGTCACTCAAAACCACGCCAAGGAGACAGAGAGACCTGTTAGCCTTCCCAGTGCCACAGGCTGCGCTGGAATGAGGCTGGAGTAGGTGATCCCTCTGCCAGCTCCTGGGTTATTCAGCTGGAGCAGGTCTCTGGTCACCCCAGGAAGTCGCCCACCCAGGCCTTCGCCCACCCCAGGAAGTCTGGGATGCATCTTCTTCCCCACAAGGGAAAGGACACAGGACCAGCCAGGATGGCTCTGCTGGGGCAGCAAACCCTCCCTCCCTGCACCACGAGGACCAGGATGGGCAGGAGGACATGGACAGACCCTTCCCAAAGCACAACAAGGAGTGAAGTGCCCCAAAGTGCCCAGGGTGTGAGCAGGGGCCAGCAGGTCCCAACTTGTGAGTCCCACCATGCCAACAGGAAAGCTGAGGGAGCAGCACTTAGGAATTCAGGTGGTTTTGGAAGGTGCCTGATGATGCACAGCACAGTCACTGCCCATATGGGATAGAGTTAAGGTTCAGAGAGGAGCTGGACATGGTGTGGGTAAGATCAGCCTCAAACCTGAGTTTGCACCAAGCAGCAGAGGCTGCGGCAGAGCAGGATGAAACCAAACCCACCTCCCCTCTCCCTGCAAGGAAAAAGGAACTTTTTACATTTACACTTTCAGGATTTAGGGTCCACCCCCACAGACTCCCCTGTCATCTAACACAGTGTTCAAATCTGCTGAGTAAAGCGAGAGACAGACCCCACCACTATCACCAGTCAGATTCTGCCCCTCCAGACTCAGCAAGTGACAGCCAAGGTTTAGGTACAGCAGCTTGGTGGGTGGATTTTCAACTGAACAGTTGTGCACGTTCAAGCAGGACCCCGTTTGGGTGCAGAAGAGCTGCTGCACTGCATGTACTAATTAGGGCTTTGCATAAATGAGTGCTGCTCTGCTCTGCACATGCTGTTACCCTGTCTGCAAACACGTTCTACCAGGCTTGTGAGGCATAGCCAGGTGCAAAGCAGCTCCCTGAAACCCCAGTTTGAATGTGTGGAGAATGAGGAGAGTATTACRCTTCTTATTCAGTCATTTAGGCAGAAGATTGCATAAATGAAAGCAAAGATGGTATAGACTCATTTTTGCCATTAGAAATARGGAATATTTTATCTTCCTGACACACTCCCCTATTGTGTTAAAACTGAATTTCATGAACCTTTTTTCCCTGACTTTCATTGTAGTGTTAGCATTAACCTGTTGTAAACACTAGCATAGTTGAGATCTGTTCTTTTCATTTTAATAACAGCTGAATAGGGAAGAGATCTGCTGTGCTATTTTTAGCCTGTTTACCCTTCAGTTCTTTTAAGTCAYCTGGTAATTGTATCTGGTCCTGGGAAAAAGCATCATGTGATGAAAATGCATTTGGGCTGAGCACAGACCAAAGCCTACCTCTCTCACAGGCTCTGCAGGCTGCAGCCCCAGACTCGTTGGCAAAATGTCCAGGTGGGCAGGGAAGGCACACGGCGCTCCTTGGGAAGCTGGGAGGGAAGGGAGCAGAGTGGAACACGATTTTAGGTCACCCAAACCTCTATCCACTTGGAGAAGAGAGAGCAGAGCACGACACTGACAACTCTAGAAATAGAGCAATTTTAAAGAAAACGTTCAGGCAGAAAAACATCAGCATGAGCTCACCTGAATGTTAAAGGTCCACTGAAAAACTGAAGTTTTCTGTATTACTAACATTAGTGATGCCCTGTGCCTGTGGACTATATGGAAGGGGAGCATCTGAATTGAAGGTCTTGAAAAATATGTTGTGGTCAGGTTTAAAACCCTTGGCCCAAAGTCAGACTCTTAAATCCAGCCCTGCAAATGGAAGTGGGAAGGTGTTTGCTGTTCAGCATCCGCAGTTTCAGCCATTTCAAAAGTAGCTGCTCCATTGTGGGGAATTGGGAGCTGAGCAAGGGAGCTGAACCACAGGCAGTGCTGTGTGGGAGCCCTGACCTTRAACAGTAGGGACTGTGGGAAAATGGAGGTGATCTGTCAGACCTGCAGAAGGAGGGGAAGCAAATGAGGGAAAGGCAGGAGAAGAGGAAGCTTTTACATTCACCYCTAACAGAGCCAAACCCCTCTTAACAAGTGTGTGGGCATAAGAACTTGTTAATATACTCAGAGATGCTTTGGAGGAAAACAAGGATGTGCTCTGTAGCTCATACAGAAACTCCATGGCTGAGTGAGATTTGCAGGGAAAAAAAAAAAACAAAAAAACAAAAAAACCCCAAAACCCCAAAATCCATTGGAAACATTGCAAATGCTTTACTGAGAACAAACCAACACAGGGCCCACACCAGCCAGAGCTGCTCAAAGGTGTGGGGAGGCCAAATTCTCCAAATACCACAGAAATGTCAGATGGTCCCATCAAAGCCCCGAGGCCCCGGGAGCCACCAGGAGATGGCCATGCACACCCTGCACCCCCAGATCCCCCCCAGATCCCCTTGCTCTGGCACACACCAGCCCAGCACTGCTGCCTGACCCTCTCTGGTCCCTGGCCCTCTTCCACATCCCAGCTGGGTGTGCCCTGGAGGCTGCTCCCCACAGTCCTTTAAAAGCAGTTTGAGGGGAGATTTCTAGGGCAGGTCCTCACAGCACAAACTGCAAGGAGGGAGGRGAGCACAAAGGAAGATCCTGCTGGCAGCTCAAATTCAGGGGCTGCTGCAAACGAAATGCACAGCCAGGTCACCCTTCCCCACAGCCAGATCTTGCTCCCTCTTCTCAGGACTGATCCCAARTGGAGCTGCTCTGCGATGGACACAATCCTGGGAGGCTCTTGCCACCCCCCTCCTGTCCTTGTCACCACACAAAGGACACAGCCCACTGCTTGTAGACATGGATACAGCAAGGGAAAAGCTGATGGAAATAGAGAGAGCAGCACATCCACGGGTCCCTGCAGCCAGAGGACACCTWTGCAGCATCCCTGAATGAGGCAGCCTGGTGAAACTGCAAGACTGGGCTCCTGGCTGGATGTCTCGTCAGCTTTTCCACTCTGTCAGCTGAGGGTATTGCTTTAGATGTCAGTGACTCAAATGTGAAGAGATCCCTCAGGGGCAAGAAAAAGGGACTAAGAAAGTAATTGGGCAAAGCAGAGAGATGGAAACTGTTGGTCCATCCTAGGAAAAGCTGAGGGGATGAATCCACACCTCATTCCCAAGTGTCTCCCCATCACAAAACAATGTTCCCTCCTAGTACAGACAAAAGACCATGGGGCTAAAAAAGAAAAGCTCACAAAGGGGCAGCYCTCAGCACCAGGATATCCACACCAAGGTTTCCTGATGAGGAGAATTTATCCTCTGAGAAACAACCCCTGCAGAACTTTTCCTACAGCCCAAAGGAACAGATTTTGCCAGTGATTTGTGGAAGTGATTTTGGGAAGTGTTTTGTGGAACAGCATCCATCCCCCACACCCAGGGGCTCGGTCACTCACCTGGTGTARTAGCCCTGTGGACATGGCAGGCAGGATGGTTGCCCACTTTGGGGCTGGTAGTGGCCTGGAGGGCAGGGGCTGCAGGCACTGGGGTCTGTGCAYGAGCCCCCTGCACAGCACGAGCAGYTCAAGGTGCCTAAAGGGGAACAAAAAGTCAGGATGAGGATTGCAAGAYTTGACTGAAACCCCTGTGTCTGCCTGGACAGGGCATTGCCACAAAGGCAGAAGCTTTGGGATGCAGTTCCTCTGGCAAGGCACTCTTAGAGGATAGCAATATTCATGCTAATTATGCTGCTGTCCACCATTAGCAAGCTGCAGAACAGCCCTAAGGAGACTTAAGGAATCGAATCTACCAATGTGGGTGTCCAGTAGTTAAGCTGACTGCTTTTTCCTTCTTTAATTTGAGGGGCCAGGGGAGTTTTCCTTGTTTTCCCTCCAGCACATGCAAAAAAGAGACAGAAATGAAGAAACCAATATACTCCTTTAGATTACTGATAATTTAAGCTTGTAGGAAGCAGAACTTGAGTAAAACCCCAGAGTCAAGGATCTGCCTTAAACAGCAACAGCTTTTCTCTAAGCACAGGTACCATGGCATTCCCACCAGGCAAGTTCTACCCCTCTCTGCTCCACAAMACCATTCTGAGCCACACAGAGGAGTTGGGTGGGATTTACTGCAACTACACACATCAGAGCTGCCATCGTCCTACTTGCCCAAGCCAGTCCTGGGAGCTGCACCAACACAGGCAAGAGGACACCCTGTCAAAGAAGATTCTGCACACAAGGGAGGTGGGAGTTCACTCCCATCCCCTGCAGATTCACCCTAAAGCATCAGAGCTGCTCATTCCCCTTTTAAAAAGTGCTCTGCAGTGCAGAGAATAAACAAAAAGTATATGGCTTGTATTTTAGAGAATTMTTTTCTTGACTTTTTTTAGTGGGATGGGGTTGTGGCATTTGAAGTAAAAAAAAATCAATGTAACAACATTACAACATAAAAAACTTCTGGAACAGGTAAGAATRTGCACTGTTGACCACAACAGAGGTTGATCAAGTGTTTTCTAGAGGCCATGGGCAAAGGGTGTCTCCGTAGCAGAGATTCTCTTTCAAACATCTGAGACAGCTGGAAATTGACCTTGTATTTGTCCCTGGACCTCAAAATTATTTTGTTCTGCCAATAAATCAAACTGTGCTTGTGTTACACTTTGTGCCACAATCCCACTGCTTTGTCATCCCACTGAGGAAGCCTCAGGAAGRCCAAAACACAGCACAAGGCCAGGAAAGACCAAGCCTTTGACTTCAGAAGGGTGATATGAATAAACTCCCTCTCCTGTTGCCTGTCCAAGCTTTCAACACAAGAACATGTGCTGGCCTCCCCTCCCCTGACAAATCCCTTTTCCCTCTAACACAGAAGTGGGGAGCAGGGACTCTTACCTTGGTTGGGGACTGTCCCTGGGGGGCAGCGGGCACAGGCTGTCACATTCACTCTGCTGCAGTTGGAGGGCTGGGGTATGGTGGGGATTGGAACTGCCGACGGGACCCCAGGGGATGTGGTCACTCCTGGGGGGGATTCTGGGGTGCTTCTGGATGTGGCTGTCAGTCCTGTAGATGTTTGAGAGGTGGCCCTGCTGCCAGAGGTGGGGATGGTCCCTGTGGTGGTGGGCAGGGTCTGGGCAGGGGTCTTTGTGCTTGGATCAGCTGCTGGAGCTGCTGTGGATGCAGCAGGGTTTGCAGTGGTTGGTGTCAGTCCAGCTGAGAGGGTTGCAGGAGCAGAGG